ACTTTTAAAACAAAATATAGAATATCTTTCTAATCTTTGAATTTCTTAAGCAAGACACATTAACTCATGAAAGAAAAGACTGACAACTTGAAAAATTGACACCTGAAAAATTAAGGCTTTTTAAAAAAATGGCAGAAAGAAAATGGAAGTCAAGCCATACTTGGGAGCCCTTGGTTCAATTCCCACTACCACAAAAAGAAAATGGGGTATATTTTAACACACAGAAGCAGAATATGCAGTGCAGGTCTACCAATCTGTGGGATAGATTACCACATACAACTGAAAAAAGGTAAAAGACATGAGCTGGTATTTCACAAAAGAGAAAAAATGTTTAGTGTCTAACCATAATAACTAGAGGAAAGGCAAGTAGGACCATGGTTAGACTAGATTTCCCAAAATCAAGAAATCTGACCACATCAAGTGTTGGAGAAAATGAGAATAAATGAAAATGCTCATATGCTGCTGGTGGGAATATTTGTACAGTCACATGGGAAAATATTTGGCATTATCTTGAATACTTTTTGATAGAAAAAGGGATTTTTATGAAATGTTCATATGAACTCATTAAAAATGGAAACAGCCCAATAAAAATTATGGAATATTGTGTAGTAGTGAAAAATGAACATGCTCCAATTATATGCTTACAGGATAGATCAATCTTAAAACAGTACGTTGAGTAAGAAGAGCAAATTTCAGAACACTATTTAGTATGATATCCGTTCTAAAGCTAAAAAATAAGCTTTGCCAATATATTATTCAGTTATGCATATATATATGTGATAAAAATACTTTGAAAGAGAATAATGGCATAAATTCAGAATAAACTCACGCTGGGGGAGGGGGTAGGGCTAGGAGGAGGTAAGGACCTGGGATAGGGAGAGCCCCAGCAGTGGATGAAGTTTAGTGGGCTGGGTCATGAGTGCACTTGTTATGTTGCTATATAGCTTACATATATGTTCCATAAATTCTTATGTATTTTTCAATGTTATGTTTAAAAATCTAACAAATAACGAGGAGAGAGATATGCTATTTTTATTAACTGAGTTTGCAAAATTTTAAGAGGACATTAAAGAAAAGTGAAACAGTCCTTCTTGTACATCAAAGCCAGCAGCATAGACTGGTGCAGACTTTTAGTGAGCTCTCTCTCTAAATACATACATGTGCGTGTGTGCATAGAATCTACCGTGTGAAGCCAAAAACACGCTAAATTCTGTCTCTCAATAATTCTATTCTGGGGAAATGAAGACTTTTAAAAAAATCCTGAAAGTTATAAAAACTTATGATATAAAGATATAATTACTAAGTTCTTTTCTACTTTAGGGGCATGTCACTTTCTCTTGAAAGGCTATTCCCCTACCACACATCCAAAGCCCCTGTGGAGAACTCTCTCCCCTCCAAGGTAGATACTCAACCCTTCAAGTTTCTATCATCATCATCTTATTTATTTCTCCACACTCCTTGCACACATCTGGAATTGCCTAGGACATAAATTCCCTGAGGGCCAGGACTGTAGTCAATGTGGCTGTTGTGGTCACATTATGCTGGTGTAAAGGAGGTGCCCAACAAACACCTATTGAGACATAAACGCCTAGTAAAAAAAGAAATGGATTTTCTAGGACAAAATTGGTCAAAATGTGGAAGGCCCGAAGAAATATACCCGCACGGTGCAAATTTTGTAATAATGCTTAAATTTTTTTGTCAATACTTACTGTTCTCTGGAGAAATGCCTGTCTGAGATCGTGGATAAAAAGCCGGGGCGGGGGAGTCTCATTGTTAAAAAGTCTCTCTCAAGGTCTTCTATGATTATGTTTTTAGAAACTATAACATAAAATGACAAGTGGATTATCTGGGACATTAGGAAAACTGGTTTGTCCATATCAGGGGTCCCGAGAAAGATCATTTGTGTGCTATAGATTGTGTTAAAATCTGTGCGTACACTTTTCGGTAGGTTTTGCAATAATCACTGCTGTTTATTCCATCATCAGTACATAAAACAAGCAAAGGGAAACAAGAACATGTTTTTAGATACACAGTATTTTACTTATAGTCCTAAATTAATGCCACGTTCTCAAGAGACTCATAATGCATTTGAAATTCAAATAGCATAAAAGAAGATTGCAGTCATTTTTATTTTACTGATGTTTCCTCTGTAGGAAACGTAATTGCCTGGGGGGAATTTACCTTAGGTCTAGGAACAGAATCCATGATTTTACATTATTTCCCATCCTTCATGCCACCAGAAACCAAAATGTAGAGCAGACTCAAACGGGAAGAAACACAGAGCTTCAGGGCGAATGTGAAAAAAGAGTTTGTATCACTGAGGCAAAACCCAGCCAGACCCGGGGTCTTTTCAGGATATCAACTATAGGACTCTAAATCGCAGTTGAATTTCAGAAGAAAAAATGAAGCCCTTAAGCTCTAGGATATCAGAGTGAAGGGCAGATCACAGGCAGTCTTCAAGGACCCTAACCAACTGTGCAATCGACGCTGGGGAGAGGTGCCATTTAATAACTCTTTATTATT